ATGAAATAATTTGTCATGTTTATTAATAATACCCAAAAGGGGTTTGATCTGTATAACATGAGGGAAAAGGGAATTGTCTAATGGTATTCTAAAGAAACTGTATTTCTCTATAAATTATGACAGAAGGAGTACTACTGTGCTTCACATCCCTGCGACGGATGGTTCTTCTGGGTTATAAATTGTAGCTAAGTGATACTATAACACGGTGATCACCAACAAGGGCAAAAGTGTGTACGACATTAGCTAGAATGAGTGTGTTAATTCCAAGACATATTTTATGATGATGTTATATTGAATGTCAGATTTGGTTTAATATGAAACATTTCAGTACAGCTCCTTATTCATAGTATGCAACATCAATCCTTAAATGGCAACAATAAAAAGCCAGATTCCGAACATAGCCAAATTGATAGTTTGTTTTAGCTCATGTGTATAGCCATCCATGATCAAAGGAAACAGTCATCAAGAATCTGTAGATGTTTCATAAGAAATCATAAGGCTATCATGAGGTTGTGACGTCTTGCTCCGCACGTTAGCCCTAAATACTGACATATCTGAGCCTTGCAGATCAAGAGCAAGAGTTGGTGTCAGGTTTTTATGTTTCAGCACCAACCTTGGAAGGAGGAATCATTGTAGTAGTGGAAATCGATCTCCTTTATGAGTTTGTGGAACCTTAGAGCACATAGTGGTGTTTTTCCATGCTAAAATCACCCACCAGGGTGCAATAAGCAGAAACCTGAAAGCATTGCTTTCCCATGTGTGTGCAAAGGCTGAATATATTTATTGTTCAGGCTTTACCAGCTCTGACAGAAAGTGAGGTGCATTTCTCATATGAACAATGTTCATATGTTCAAGGCAAAATACCAAGACACTTGATTTCTTGAAGAAAAGCTCTTGAAAATATAGGAATACTACAATATTCCTTGAGCCTATAGTAGGTGAAATACTTATTTGTCTGATGGAAAAGTTGCTAGTCTCACATTAACAAAGAATGCTGCTCAGACAGCATTGTTACTTTGTGAGTAATCTCGGTTAACCCATACATGTTAAGAGATGCTAGAACGAGGAGCTGACTGAGAATGAGGAGCTCTCTCTCTCTCTCTTTCTCTCTCCCCTCCTCTCTCTCTCCTCCTCTCTCTCTCCCCTCCTCTCTCTCTCTGTCTCTCTGTCTATCTGTCTCTGTCTCTCTCTCTCTCTCTCTCTCTCTCTCTCTCTCTCTCTCTCTCCTGTCTCTGTGTGTGTGTGTGTGTTGTGTGTGTGTGTGTGTGTGTGTGTGTGTGTGTGTGTGTGTGTGTGTGTGTGTGTGTGCAAGTCTATGGGCCGAATGTCCCCCCCCTTCCAAAATTCTTAAGATGCTAACACCTGTGAAATCATGATTTGTCCAAACAACCGGAACTGCTGCTTCTCGTTATCCTACACATCCCCATTTAGTCCCGACAGATTCTTCAGTTAACGCGCAGAATCGGTCCGCAAGAGATTACTTTGTGAGTTATCCAAAGGGGGAAAGAGTTATAAGCCATTTACAAGGCAATAGAGCTCAACCCTCAATGCAAATCAGAACCTGCAGTTTACTGTGTGCTATAGTATGTCAATGGGTCAGATCATATGTCTTGCTTCTTTCCACTGTCCAATCGAACACAGTGCTTCTGCTCATCATTATTTGGCTGTCATCTGGGAGTAATACATATGTGATCTATGGTTTTTCATAGTGAGTCTTAGAATTTACATTGGTTAATAATATAATCTAGAAACATTCTTAACAAAAATAAATGTTCAGTCTAGTCTAATAACTGCAACAGCAGCCATATTTGATCCCATGGCAGTGCCTTTAGTTTGATGATTTTAAAGAAGATACCTGATGAGTCATTGAAGTTCATATATGGTGTCTTAGTGTACTAATTTTACAGCATATCTCAAGTGGTACGATCTCATTCTGAAGGGAGTTATTAGTGTTTTGAAAATTTAAGGAGTCTTGAAGTGACTTGAGTAATCTCTAAACAAAATGATCTATTAAGATATTCATGCAATTAGTCCAGTTCCTGATCACATTATATGCCACCAGAAAGCCTAGTAACCATCAACTAGTTTATTTGTGCTGTTTGCATGATGTCTTTCCTATCTGATACAGGTTGCATTTTCTATATGCTCAGTCTAAGCCCAACAAGATTCCCCTCAATATCTGATATTTCAAAATTTGATACACAGAGAAAGTGAAAGTGTTGTTTGTAGTCCTGTCTCTGGAATATAAAGTGTTGAAAGATGTAATAGGAGAATAGGAACCTTGTTCATAAAGACCTAGCATCAACTGCAGTAGTTCCTACAGATAGTTTACCAATCCCGACAAGTTTTACCTCGAAACAAGTGCTGTCTTTATGTCAGTGCACCATATAGTGCACTGTAACTATAATGTCAAATACGGTGGAGGCACTTGTTGCCGTCAAAGTGCCACAAGCAACCATTTGATATCTTTGCGATGATGGCTTGACAGCCATGTCTCACTGTGTTTTCCACTTGAAGGATTCCAGTAGAGGAGTAGAATACCCATGGAAAGAAAAAAGGAGACATACGTTTGAAAGAAGGATGGTAAACTTAGATCTCTCTTAAAGGGCCAATGCAACCATTTTTATCTCAAATCAAATAATTTCTAAGTAACAATTAAGTACCTTACTGTGATTGTTTTCAATTAAAATGGTTAAAAAGAAACAAAAATTGCTTCTTAGCAAAGAGCAATTTCTCATGCAAGAATTTTGCTAGGTCTGTCTGGGAGTGGTCTGAGTGGGGAGGGGAAACTGAAAACTAGCTGTTATTGGCAGAGAGGTTTGGAACTCTTGCTCTTATTGGTTTATTAACCAAAAACAGGCTGGAATTTCAGGCGGTCTTTTCAAACAGCTCTTACACTAAAAGGGCATTTTCACAATTTTACAGTATTATTTCAACCTCAGTGTGGAAATATATATATACAACACAAGAAAATCTAAATTTTTACTGCACTGGGCCTTTAAGCTATATGTTAATAACTTGTTCAATCAAAGTAATGGAAGAGATATGAGGATTCCTAAATAATTAAATCCTGACAGGTGCAGGATTCAGTAATAACAACATTGTTGGGAAGATATTATCTCACTGTACTCCAGGCAAAAAATGACATCACAAAAGCATCGGCTCTGTAATTCATTTCAGAATTACAACATACAACTCAACGACACAAGCTTTATGGAAAGGCATTGTCCTCAGTTAAAATAATGGCTTCACCCTGCCTAATATCAAATTATAGTTGCAGTGCTGCCATGCAAAACCATGATTCAAAATCCTTGTTTTTGAGCTAAATAAACAAGCCCAGCTTGCTGTCTGTTCTGTTCATGGTTACATGAATCACTAATACGCCCATCAGAATGAGAGTGGGCTGTGTCCATTATGGAAAATAACCACATCCCTTTTCTGACACATTTTTAAAGGCCTATAGTTTCCATAAATGTGAACATAAAGTCATAAATGCCAGAAAAAGGGGAATAGACACACAATCCTTTTGTGTTCTGTGAATCCCAATGATCATTCAAATGGCCTGGGTTATACAGAGCATGTGGAGGGAAGCAGAGGCATTGATCACTCCAGTTAATGGTAAAAAAAAGAGACTCAATGGCTGCGTCCCAAATGGCACCCTATTCCCGCCCCTATGGGCCCTGGTCAAAAGTAGTACACTAAAAAGGGAATAGGGTACCATTTGGGACGCAGGCAATATGTTTCACCTGGTGGGTGAGCCTGCCAAGCAGCAAGTCGATGCTCCCTGATTTTCAGCTATAGGGTGCAAGGTGAAAGATCTGTTTTTTATTAGATGATATTACCACTCTATAGCCTTGGCTTGGCTTGTGGGTGGTTAGAATGCGTAAGTACATGCTAAGAAAATGTGTTATTTGATGAGGGCATAATGTAGTGTCTAACCACATATGAAATCAGTAAGTACATTGTTACTCTGCCTCCTCGTGTCAAAGGAGACCACATTTTCTGAAGTAAGTAACCATAAGGGAATAACATCTCTGATTGTCTTGTACCAGATATGTAAGTACAGGAAGTTACATAGTGGGCTACTTATCACTGCTTATTCTGTTTTCCAAGAAAAAGGGAAGTAGCGTATGTAAGAGCGTGAAAGGGGAGGCCTACAGTTAGTGTTCCATTAATGCATGTGAACGCATGCCGACAACAGTCATTTAGTAAGTTTTTTTCAGTAGTAGTTCCTCTAGTATAATGCCCATGTCAACAAATAATCATACCTATCGAGAGAGATTGCAATCAAATAATTTACTATTACCATTAAACAAAGCACTGAACACATTCATGGATCCATCAATCTAAATACCAATTGCTACATCGCATGCATTTGAGACTGGAATAGAAGTGACACCGCGAGTCTGATGTGTAACACAATTGAGCCGTTGAATGTGCTACACCAAAACTGTAATGCCAAAGTTCATGTTATCAAACTAATTTGGTGTTGGCTCTGGGAGCCAGAGGTAGCTCACTCAGGATCATTGAGCACTGTAATGACCTGAGCCTGTCAGTTAACTACAAATGTACTCACTACAGTCTTGCCAAGAGTAGCATACAGGAGTATAAAAGCTCCAGCCCCCATAACAATTGCAGGTATCACTCAGTTGGGCTTTGTAAAAAAAGTACTGTGTGTCTTCATTGCAGTGATTTGATAGGATACTTCATGGCAGCTGCATGGGTAGACAACTTGCCTAGGGCATAAGTAGGAAGTCTCTGGATGGTTTAAATTGGCACTATAGTCAAATAATATAAATCCATGTGTCCATGGTAGATTAGGGATATGAACCATAATTGCACGTTAAAAGGTATAAACCATAATTTAAATATCTGGTAAAAATGAAGAAAAGTGAAGAAAATAAAAAATGTATTGATGGATGTGAAATTATTTACTTTCTTACGATAAAAAATGAATCTTGTTTTTCTTGTGATTGTTTCTCCATTTCTTAGATGAATTCATGGCCTTCATGAAAAAACTACCAACAGACCGTTTTTTAAACACATCCATGGTATTCAAGTTTTGGGCAACAGATGCAGCTCTCCAGAAGCGTTACAGCCAATTGGAGATCAGCACCAATTTGGTTCTTGTGAAAGCCCAGAAGATTGTGAGGAAACTCTTCACTCTGAGCAAGCGCTGTCCCAAACTGCCAAGGATCAGCCTCCCAAGAGAAAGGTACGAAAATGGGAATATCACGTGCTCTTAAATGATTCCTCAAATATATTGTAATATCTGCCAAATCAGATGAAAACGTGTTTATATTGGCTTTTGAACATCTTACACCTACTTTATTAGTAAATTACATAAATTAATTATTACATAGAACCACTTCATGGCATTTTATCATCATTGTTTCCTCTTTTATATCAAGTTATGTTGTTTGGGTCAGGTCTTCATGCTTTTCCCTGTAGTTAAAATAGTACACCCCTAATCACAAAAAGTATTCACAACCCTTGACTTTTTCCAAATTTTGTGGTGTTACAGCCTGAATTTAAAATTGATTAAATTGAGATTTGTGGGTCTCTGGCCTACACACGATACTCCATAATGTAAAAGTAGAATTATGTTTTTCAAAATGTTGTCTTGAGTCAGTAAGTATTCAACCCATTTGTTATGGCAAGCCTAAATAAGTTTAGGAGTAACAATTTGCTTAGCATGTCACATAATAAGTTGCATGGACTCAATAATAGTGATTAACATGATTTTTGAATGACTACCTCATCTCTGTACCCCACACATACAATTATCTGTAAGGTCCCTCAGTCGAGCAGTGCATTTCAAACAGATTCAACCACAAAGACCTGGTAGGTTTTCCAATGCCTCGCAAAGGGCACCTATTGGTAGATGGGTAAAAATAAAAGCAGACATTGAAAATCCCTTTGAGCATTGTGAAGTTATTAATTAAACTTTGGATGGTGTATCAATACACCCATTCACTACAAGATACAGGCGTCCTTCCTAACTCAGTTGCCGGAGTGGAAGGAAACTGCTCAGGGATTTCACCATGAGGCCAATGGTGACTTTAAAACAGAGTTTAATGGCTGTGAAAGGAGAAAAGTGAGGATGGCTCAACAACATTGTAGTTACTCCACAATACTAACCCAATTGACAGAGTGAAAAGAAGGAAGCTTGTAAAGAATAAAAATATTCCAAAACATGCATCATGTTAGCAACAAGGCACTAAAGTAAAACTGCAAAAAATGTGGCAAAGCAATTCACATTTTGTCCTGAATAAAACGTCTTATGTTTGGGGCAAATCCAATACAGCACATTACTGAATACATTTACATTTACATTTACATTTTAGTCATTTAGCAGACGCTCTTATCCAGAGCGACTTACAGGAGCAATTAGGGTTAAGTGCCTTGCTCAAGGGCACATTTACGTCATTTAGCAGACGCTCTTATCCAGAGCGACTCACAAATTGGTGCATTCACCCTATAGCCAGTGGGATAACCACTTTACATTTTTGGGGGGGGGGGGGGTAGTAGAAGGATTACTTTATCCTATCCCAGGTATTCCTTAAAGAGGTGGGGTTTCAAATGTCTCCGGAAGGTGGTGAGTGACTCCGCTGTCCTGGCGTCGTGAGGGAGCTTGTTCCACCATTGGGGTGCCAGAGCAGCGAACAGTTTTGACTGGGCTGAGCGGGAACTATGCTTCCGCAGAGGAAGGGGAGCCAGCAGGCCAGAGGTGGATGAACGCAATGCCCTCGTTTGGGTGTAGGGACTGATCAGAGCCCGAAGGTACAGAGGTGCCGTTCCCCTCACTGCTCCATAGGCAAGCACCATGGTCTTGTAACGGATGCGAGCTTCAACTGGAAGCCAGTGGAGTGTGCGGAGGAGGGGGGTGACGTGAGAGAACTTGGGAAGGTTGAACACCAGACGGGCTGCGGCATTCTGGATGAGTTGTAGGGGTTTAATGGCACAGGCAGGGAGGCCAGCCAACAGCGAGTTGCAGTAATCCAGACGGGAGATGACAAGTGCCTGGATTAGGACCTGTGCCGCTTCCTGTGTAAGGCAGGGTCGTACTCTCCGAATGTTGTAGAGCATGAACCTGCAGGAGCGGGTCACCGCCTTGATGTTAGCGGAGAACGACAGGGTGTTGTCCAGGGTCACGCCAAGGCTCTTCGCACTCTGGGAGGAGGACACAACGGAGTTGTCAACCGTGATGAGAATACCACTCTCCGTATTTTCAAGCATAGTGTTGGCTGCATCATGTTATGGGTATGCTTGTAATCGTTAAAGGCTGGGGAGTTTTTAAGGATAAAAAATGAACAGAATGGAGCTTAGCACAGGCAAAATCCTAGAGGAAAACCTTGTTCAGTGTGCTTTCCACCAGACACTGGGAGATTAATTCACCTTTCAGCAAAACAATAACCTAAAACACAAGGCCAAATCTACACTGGAGTTGCTTACCAAGAAGACAGTGAATGTTCCAGAGTGGCCAAGTTATAGTTTTTAATTAAATCTGTTTGAAAATCTATGGCAAGACTTGAAAATGGTTGTCTAGCAATGATCAACAACCAATTTGACAGAGCTTGAAGAATTTTGAAAAGAATAATGGGCAAAAATTGCACAATCCAAGTGTGGAAAGCTCTTAGAGACTTACCCAGAAAGACACAGCTGTAATCGCTGTCAAAGGTGATTGTAACATGAATTGACTCAGGGGGTTGAATACTTATCTAATCAAGATATATTAGTGTTTTATTTTTCATAAATGTTTTACAGATGTTAGATTTTTTCTTCCACTTTGACATTATAGAGTATTTTGTGTAGATTGTTTACAAAATAAATTATATTAAATCCATTTTAATCCCACTTTGAAACACAGCAAAATGTGGAAAAAGTCAAGGGGTGTGAATACTTTCTGAAGGCACTGAGTTGGCTGAGTTGTCTGTCATTAAGACGCAATTTGGTATCTGATGCTGTGAGAACCAGGGCAAGCGTCTGAAATGAAAGAGCGGGTAAGAGAGAGCTGTTTATGTCTCTGCCCCGATTGAAGGGGTCTGTATGATGTGAGGTCTATGGTGGCACGTCTGTAATCAAGTGCTCTTAGAGACAACAGGTTGGTGTTAATGTCTTGCCCACTGAACACTTCAATTTCCTTGACAGGCGCTACCTCTGGCTGTCATTCACTTCCTTAACTCTGTTCAAACAAATAAAAACAATCTATTCAGCTCAGCTGAGCCAGAAGATTTATTCTACATCATCATGTGCTATGTAATCCCTCATTTTGATATGCATGCCTGCGGCAAGGAAAAAGTTTCAGATTTGAGCTTTATGTTGTGCAATTCCCAATAAATCAAATCAAATGTTATTTGTCACATACACGTGTTTAGCAGATGTTATAGGGGGTGTAGCGAAATGCTTGTGCTTCTAGCTCCAACAGTGCAGTAATATCTAACAAGTAATATTTAACAGTTTCATAACATATACCCAATACACACAAAACTAGTAAGGAATGGGATTTAAGAATACATACATATATGGACAACCAATGACAGAGCGGCATGGACTAAGATACAGTAGAATATTATAGAATAGAATGCAGTATATACATATGAGATGAGTAGTGCAAGATATGTAAACATTATTAAAGTGACTAGTGTTCCGGTTGAGGAAAACTCCTCTTTGCAGATTCAACTACAAAATAGTGCTTAGTAGAAAGTTACAGCAAAGTACTACATTTTTAATTCATGTACAATATTTGGGTTATTTTCCCCCCAAATGTGGTTGCACCAAAAATATATCATCCTATCAAAGCTTGTACATAAATAATGAACACAGACTTAATAGCAAATTCACTTTATAGTGAGCATTATGTATAATACATCGACAAATAGATAAAATCTAAGAATGAATTAGCAATAACATATTGGTATTTAAAAGAACAATCCTTCATTAGTATATTCTGCAGGTTCTGGAACACATGTTCTGCATAATTCAATAGGGCTGAGAAATAGTGTGAAATGGACTCTGGAAGACACTACACTCCAGAGTAAACTGAACAGTTGGGAGAAGGATCTTGTATTCTTCTGAATCCCAAAGACGGGCGATAAGCCTTTTAAAGTCCACATCAATCATTATTTGAAACTTACTAAATGGGATGATGTTAAGTGAACGTTAAGGGCTCTATTCAATCTGTAACGTTGAAGCTGAAGCGTTACAGATTCCGCAATAGAAATGTAAAGGTTATTTCCGATTGAGCCGACATATGCAGCGTTTACCGTGAATGCAGTCTTCGCTAAAGCGGGATCATTGCCTTTAAATTTCAATCACGCTGTAAAGCTGAATTTGCGAGATGCGCATTGAATAGAGCCCTAAAACATTGTCATCACTTGTGTCCTTTATGCACTCTTTCTCTATCCTTTCTATAGGGTTCAATAGTGTTAGTCAAAGGAAAAATAATTTGAGTAATTCATTTATTGATAATAGGTAAAGATGATCTCAAAGTCAAATTATGTTTTTGAAAATAATGCTATTTTCTCTTTAGGACACCAGGATTTTGGCTGAGCAAGGCCCAGTCACTCCTGTACTGCAACGAGCATGGAGACCTGGGCATGTTTTCAGAGGAGGTGCAGAGCTGCACCTGCACTACTGAGCACAGTAGTGCCTGCCAGGGGACAGTGCCCTGTGAGGTCGGAGAGGGGTCAGCCTGCCTCTCATGTGCCCCGGACAACATCACCCGCTGTGGCTCATGCCACCCTGGCAACATCCTGCACCTGGGCTCGTGTCGGCCCAACATAGCAAACTCTCTGGACCACTACCTGAACATTGACTTTGACATGCCGGACACAGAGGTCAAGTACCTGCTCCAGCAGCTGGACAGTCGCATGGAGGTCCATGCCATCTACATCAGCAATGATGTGCGTCTGGGCAGCTGGTTCAACCCGGCCTGGAGGAAACGTATGCTCCTCACTCTAAAGAGCAACAAAAACAAATCCAACCTCATTCATATGCTAATGGGAATCTCATTCCAGATCTGCTCCACTAAAAACAGTACCCTGGAGCCTGTGCCTGCTATATATGTCAACCCATTTGGGGGCAGTCACTCTGAGAGTTGGTTCATGCCTGTCAACCAGCAGGACTTCCCAGACTGGGAGAGAACTAAATTGGATGCCTCTCTGCAGTGCTACAACTGGACGCTGATGCTGGGCAACAAGTGGAAGTCCTTCTTCGAGACGGTTCACATTTACCTGCGCAGCCGCATCCTGACCGACGACCCCACTGTCAACGAGACCCTTTTCTATGAGCCCCTGGACCTGGACGACCACACGACCGACCTGGGCTACATGAAAATCAACAGTCTCAAGGTGTTCGGCTACAGCATGCACTTTGACCCAGAGGGCATCAAAGACCTGATTTTGCAGCTGGACTACCCATACACCCAAGGAACCCAGGATGCAGCCTTTCATATGCTTCTGGAGATGAGAGACCGCATCAACCGGCTTTCCCCGCCCGGAGTGCAGCCATTGGACATCTTTTCATGTCTGCTCCGCCACAGGCTCAAGCTCTCCACCAGCGAGGTGGTGCGCATCCGAGACTCCCTCCAGATTTTCAACTCCAAGCTGCCCAATTCCTCTGAGGCAGAGCTGGGCCAGTTGTGCAGCTAGCTCAGTCTAAATTAGAGTCCAGAGAGTGCTGCACCGCTGGGTACTCTTCAGACAGCCACAAATTTATCCATCTGGTTTGGAAAACATGTACATATATTTCTGACATGTCTAGAACATTCCTATACCCTGGCTGAAAGACCGTGGCGTGTGTTGAATCTGGAGTGATGTCATGACAACAGATAGAGTTTTTAATATAGAAAGCAAGGAGCTCCAATGAGTTTTCTAAAGGATCACTCTGGCTGTTCATCTGTTGGCATGAAGTTAAGGAAATGGAACAGGATTTCCCTTTCTAACCCTTTTTTTATTTGGTTACAGAATGATTTAATTTAAAAGGGAAAATATGACGTGCTGAATGAGTTGTTGATTATGCTTAACGGTTTATTTTGATAATCATCCATATTTTTTAAATCCTTGCCTTTCCATTTGATCTGCCGTTCAAAACCATACAAGATATGTATTTGTGCTTAACATTTGGTTGACAAGCCCATGACTGAATCTTTCTATTCTATTCAGCAACATTACTTCACCAAAAGAAGGTGAACGTTGTGGCAAACTGAGTGGCAAAAATGTCTTAAATGTTGAGTTTAATTTTTTTGCTGACTTCAAAATTAATTATTCTGACATGGTTATTAAAGGTCTGTGGATACAGCTCTGTAAATATTGTTCCATCTAAATCAAGATGTGGAAAGTGCACATAGCTTCTTTTTTTTGATAACCAAGTGCAAACACCCAAAAAATATTTGTAACAAAAAAAATCATGCCTTATAATGGTGAATCAATGTTCAGATAAAAAGCACATTTAGTTCAGTTTCATTTCCAAGCTATCTAGATCTTTTGAATATATTTTGCAAACATAACACCACATTTTTGGAATAGGCTAACTATATTTGCATTCTAATGAGTACACTGTATTGTGGATCTTACCTGTAAATGCCAGTTACAATTCCAGTTGAAACGTATTGCGGAATGTTATAATTTTTTTAACTAGTTCTTTAACTCAAATGTTTATTAATTGTATTCACGGTAGGCCTAGATTGGAACTCAAATAAATATGAGCTGATAAACTGGAGACCATGCATTTGTCTTGGTATATTCCATCTGGATATGTTTCATACCTTTTACACGGATTGTGATGGTTCAACAATTTACCATACTGCCATTTCCGTTTCATATGTTAAGGTACTATTTGGCCTTTCATTATCTGCAAAACCTACATCTTGAGTAAAAAATGACTGTCATAGATCTACTGCTGGAATAGCTGTGTTTCTAGGATTTATCAATTGTACCATTGGACAATAGAGTAAACAAGGAACATTTGATCTCGACAAAGAACACATATTTAAATGGACAAACACATATCTTCACTGTACGAATCCTCTTTGTTACCATGAAATGGAATTACCCTGGGTCCTTCCTGATAAGATGAATGTTCTCTAATATATGAAGTGCAGCATTTGCAAGGTAAAAACCAATTTCCAAGGTTGTCACAGAGCACGGGAACCAAGCACACATTGTCACATTGCATCAAACTCACTGTGCCTCTGAACGACCTGGGAAAAACGTAAACATATTTTAATAAGATGGGAGTCACAAACACAGAGTTTATAAATAAAGGTTATTTATCTTGATGTCATCTAGAAATCAGCACTTGCCCTTCAGCTAATCGTCAGGACAGTGGAGGACACCCAATCAATCAAGGAGGGTCTATTATGCTGTGTGAACATTTTAAACATTCCCACAAGAAAATGAGGGAAATGGGGTTGGCAATTTTTCTCCAATGATTTATTATGTTTTGAGAGTCCAAGAATGTAATTGATGTTGTGGTATTGGTCAAATAAAATGTGGTCCTTGTGCTTGGGTTCTTTCTTGCCTGTACCTGTGTAGTTCATGTAGTACAGTCATCAATTACAATTTGGATTATAGGTTCAGGGAAATGTTAGAAATACAAAGTGTCCGGAGAATAGATTCCTATTAGCACACAGAGAAAGAGAGAGGGGGAGAGCAAGCAAGCGAACGAACGAGAGAGCAACTATGAACATTATCAACAACAAATAAATAAATGTACTATTCCAATTTCATTACTATGGACATTATCACATAATAGAAACATTCAAACATTCCACTCCAAATCCACATCCACTTGCATATCAGTCTAAAATCTAAGCATACAAATGAATGCATTAACTCTCCTTGACTTGATTGGCTAGCCTCTCGTTACATGATAGACCGTACACTGAGTACAGCAGATGATTTCATAGAGCATTTATTTGCCATTTTGTTTATTCCTTTCTGTTTGTTTGTTGCCTTTGGCTGCCTCGGACTGCCTCAGTCCATAGGACAGTAACTGACGGTTAGCATGGCTGCCAGCACACAGCACTTATCATACCACCCAGATGTTCTTCTTTCAAACTCTGTATTCTTTTATGTCAATCAGTGGTGTGCTTTTCTTCCATTACTTCCAATTCTGCCACATTGCACTTATTTTCACATTTGCTGCACTTTATTGTTAACGGCGGTCGTCCTTGAGCTTTTTATGGCCACCATGTTCAAGGCTGGACAGCTCTTTTCATGTGTGCTCTATCCATTTTCCATTGGTGAGAGGACGCCTGACATGTAAATATCCCTGTGGAAGTAAAGGGCCTTCTACAATGCCAACACTGTCACTTAGCAGTGGCCTGTTTGTCTGGTGTGCAAGTCCTGGGACTGGTGCCAATGTCCTTAGGCCTCAGAGAGGCATGACCTCACTATTATGGTTTATAACTTATTTGATATGTGGGGGACATCGTTCTTTCCACAGGGAGCCCAACCTTAGCTTTTCAATGGGTAATGATATGAGAGAATGGCACCACTATAAGAGGTTTAATCATTACAGTTTGATTTGAATATCATCTTTAGCTGCCTTTATTTAATAAAATGTTGAATGTCATCAGTATTGCTATCATCAAAATCAAACTATATATAAAGGTGGTAGTAACATGGTTAAAAGATTTGAACAAGTTGTAAACACAATTATCAATTATATACATTTATCTCTGATATAATTGTAGTTATAACTTGTTCCTATATTTCTACCACGTTAGTACCTATGCTGTAAAGTACACTACTTATGCGAGCCATTCAAGAAATAAGCAACAAACTCTCTGTATGTCAAACCTAAATTAACAGTTTGTACTATTCCTGACAGAATTAACCCAAGCAGTTTTTCCATACAGTATGAAAGGTAATGGTCATTGGAAAAATGAACAAATATTTCCTAAACGCCTTCAACTTCTGTATGTTTATAGAATGAAATGTTGTTTTGACCCTAAAAGCTACAAATGTCCAGAACCAAAGTGCTGAATGTAAATATTCTTAGGTTGACTCCATCCACTTTGATCAGACACTACTTCACACAGCTCAATCAAGAATATTAAATATCAGCTCAGTATCCGGCTGAAAGAATTCTATTTGATTATATGATCATGTTTTACGTATTTGTATCTGTACATACTGAATGAGGCGCTACATACACAAACATACTGATATGCCTACTGGTTGGCTCTGTAAAGAACGGTTTAACTTTTTATTCTTGTTGTTTGATCAAAAATATTTGTTTCTCAATGTTTTAACAGGATGTAAATGTTCTTATATTAAATAATAAAAAAGAACAACTAAGTTTGCATTACTTTGTATTCTCTCCATATAAAAAACATTTAATTGGATGCACAGTATTTCAGATATGCATTCGAAAGACATTGGAGGATGTTACCTTTTTGTAGTTGCGTATGTGTTCTGATAACGATATTATTCAATTCTGACTACTATCGATGTCAGTGGAGGCTGGTGGGAGGAGCTTTAGGAGGACAGGCTCATTGTAATGGCTGGAATGGAGTGAAAGGAACCGAGTCAAACGTGGTTTCCATATGTTTGTGTTTGATACCGTTCCATTGATTCCATTCCAGCCATTACAATGAGCCCGTCCTCCTACAGCTCCTCTCACCAGCCTTCACTGATCGATGTGTTGTTATTGCAATGTTACTCTGCAGTGAGGTGCAAACTTTACTTTGGACTGTCGTCGTGGATACAACCGCAAATCAATACATACAGTGGGGAAAAAAACTATTTAGTCAGCCACCAATTGTGCAAGTTCTCCCACTTAAAAAGATGAGAGAGGCCTGTAATTTTCATCATAGGTACACGTCAACTATGACAGACAAATTTAGAAAAAAAATCCAGAAAATCACATTGTAGGATTTTTAATGAATTTATTTGCAAATTATGGTGGAAAATAAGTATTTGGTCACCTACAAACAAGCAAGATTTCTGGCTCTCACAGACCTGCTCCTCTGTCCTCCACTCTTAATGGCACCTGTTTGAACTTGTTATCAGTATAAAATACACCTGTCCACAACCTCAAACAGTCACACTCCAAACTCCACTATGGCCAAGACCAAAGAGCTGTCAAAGGACACCAGAAACAAAATTGTAGACCTGCACCAGGCTGGGAAGACTGAATCTGCAATAGGTTAAGCAGCTTGGTTTGAAGAAATCAACTGTGGGAGCAATTATTAGGAAATGGAAGACATACAAGACCACTGATAATCTCCCTCGATCTGGGGCTCCACGCAAGATCTCACCCCGTGGGGTCAAAATGATCACAAGAACGGTGAGCAAAAATCCCAGAACCACACGGGGGGACCTAGTGAATGACCTGCAGAGAGCTGGGACCAAAGTAACAAAGCCTACCATCAGTAACACACTACGCCGCCAGGGACTCAAATCCTGCAGTGCCAGACGTGTCCCCCTGCTTAAGCCAGTACATGTCCAGGCCCGTCTGAAGTTTGCTAGTGTGCATTTGGATGATCCAGAAGAGGATTGGGAGAATGTCATATGGTCAGATGAAACCAAAATAGAACCTTTTGGTAAAAACTCAACTCGTCGTGTTTGGAGGACAAAGAATGCTGAGTTGCATCCAAAGAACACCATACCTACTGTGAAGCATGGGGGTGGAAACATCATGC